TAGCCTCTAATGCGTCATACCCAAAACCTATGAAACCTTAGGATTGATTAAAGGAAAGGGGAGAGTAGAAACTGATTTCTCTATGTTGTAGAGGAAGGATTAGTTTTGGCTTAAGGTTAGAACCCATTATACAACTCTTAATAATCCTAAAACCCTAGATTTGAATAATAAAATAATACTATTTTATTCTTATTCAAATACAATTTCCTTATCTGAGTAGGAAGCTTCCAAAACCCTTCATTAATGCTTCTAAAACCGTCCCCTCCCTGAGAGGTTGTTGATTCTCTCTTTTGTTCAACTATTGAACAATTGTAGCTCGGTCCTTGTACCTCTAATTATTTTCTAATTAACCCATAATTAATTTCAAATTAATTCTAATTAATTCTTAATTAGTTTTTACTATTTTAAATTAATATATTAATCATATAATATATTAATAAATCATTTATCTCTTTCTTATAATTAGTCCAAATTTTTACCTAATTATGAGACCTTAAACACTTAATCCAACACCTCCCTCCCCTCCATACACATCATATGGTCGCTTGAAATAGCCCAATAATAAAAATATTTTTTAAGAGATTAACAAATTTTTAATTCAATATATTTATCGCTTTACATTGTTTTATTGCTTCTAACTGGTCACTCATTTAGTATTAGAACGAGGAAGAGTATCAAATAGACAAATAGTTGATATCCATAATTAATCTTTTCACAATTATGTGTTTTTTTATTGAATTGCACAAAATGAATGGTTTATTTCAAAATAGACCACTTTTTCTTTTAAGGTTGTTTTGATAGTTAAAGTAAAGTACGTCGTTTATCGCCGAAGTACGCTGCAAATACGACTATTGCCATTAAGTACATGAACTTCCCTATTCGACCTCGTGATAGATGTTTTAAATCGATACACCATTTACTTTTAATAGATCCGTATAAAAATCGGCTAATTTGATTTTTTTTCATTTTCTGTAACCCACATGATTATTTTTTTTAAAATGTTCTGTGATCTTTTTGTATCACCTCTTTGGTCCTTTTCTTCATTATCCTTCATAAAAATGAATAAAACCGAGAAGTGAATACGTATTGACATTGAAAAATTATCAAGCACATGGAGTTGAAAAAAATTATGACTAAAATGCCTTTATACATAGCACGCAGATGAACCACTTGAGATATTTGTTAAAACCGATGTAGACTCTACGATAATTATCAAAATTCTTGTAAACTATTTTTTTTTTTTTTGGCAAAACTCAAACTCAATTAACACTAATAAAAACATCATGTTTTAAAAAAAGTTCGAGTATATAGAATTATATTTTGAAAATTATTAAAAAAAATTCAATAAAATTATAAATAAGTTATATCAAATACTTAAAAAAATAATAATTTATAAGTCAGTTTTATCAATTATGTTAATAAGTTAGTTTATTTGTGTCGGCCTAAAACTAAATTATAACTTCCAAAATTAACATGATGCCAAATGAATTTAATGAAGTAACATGCACTCCCGCGACCTTGGTTCTCATTCTGTTCTTTACAAGAATCGAATAATTTCTTTTTTCTCATAAAATAAAAATTAGGTATTTTTAACACATATGAATTTAAAACTGAAGCGAGATAGCCATGAAGGCATCTTCATGGGTTACATGCAGTACCAATTATCATTAATCATTGGTTCACACATTTCTTCCTAGTTTTTTTTATTGAATATCATTTTACACACTGACTAAATGCCAACTAACCAACCTAGTAATTGTTTAAGATTACGCATAATATTACATAATATACTATTAAATCATTTTACGTTATTCTGATGCCACAGTTTGTACTTTGTAAAAAAACATATTCTTGAAATTCTTTTTTGATTTTCAAGAAACCCTCAACAAATTTTCAATGTTTTTTGTTTCCACTTTTTTAACAGTTTTATCGTTAATCTTTCGGTAATTTATATATACATATATTTTCTGAAGAAAAAAACTCTTATAATTAGCGGAAAAAAAAAGTTTGTACCAACGTTTTCGTTTGATGATTAAACTGTTCTTGTTCGTGCTATTGTTTAAACCAACTTGACATGTTAGATTGTTTTTATAATCAAACATAAAGACATCTCTTAACTCCGATCTATATTTGAAAATCTAATTTCAAACTTATGTGAATTGATCCACTATATTCTAACTAGATTTATCTGTGATTTAATTTTTACATCAGTAATCATATCAACAATCTGTCATGGTTTTTGTTTAGAGTACGTAAAATAATTTACAAAATATGAATTACATTAGGAATTTGAAGTTTTAAATGGGGTATGTCATATCATTAGTTCCTTTTATTTAACACAAATTCTCCTTAATAAATAAAGATCTTTTTGCCACATGTTACATTCTCATTTATGTTGTCACATGTAACTTTGTGGTTATTTTAAATTAATTTTTATTCCACATATATATTTATGGTTTTTTCATTTTATTAAATTTCAAATAGTATTTAAATTTAAATGCAATAATAAATTCATATCAATTTCATGAACTTTCCTATTAATTTCAAAATTACTAAATTAAACATTCGTTAATTTTCTTTATTCATTTATCTAAATTATTTGTTTAAATTTAAAAGAAAAAAAAATACTTTAATTTTTATAATTCAATATTTTCTCACTTTTCTTATAAATTCAAACTTTTTAAATGTTTAGAATTTTGTATTTAGTTTTTCTTTTACATAAACTCATGTAATACATTGGTCTCACACCTACTATATATATATATATATATATATATATATATATATATATATATATAACCTCAAACGTCTTTGGGGTGGGCCAAGGTCCACCATTCCATCCATTCGGCTACGTCTCTGTCAACAATAACGTATTCCATGAATTCTATAGGCATTATTTATTTTCAAATTACCTAATAATTGAACGTATTTGGTGAGATATGATAATTTTTTTAATAAGGTTGGGCTAAGGGGTCGAATAAAGTAAAAAAAATTGTGGTATTTGGTGGTAGTGAAATTGTTTGGGTTGGAGTGGGGTTGAAAATATATGGCATCAAGTTGTGATCGGTAAATCGACGAACCCAAAGGAAAAACATTTGTTATCGTTGTTCTTGAACTACTTGCACACAATTTGTTTCGGTGGGATATTAGGGTGAGATTGGTGAGAAGGTTGTTTGGATTCATTTTCGTAGTAGAAATTGTAGTGTTTTAGTAGTAGAAAATTGTAGTAAAAAGTATATTGGTTGTGTGAAATGAAAATATATAGTATTCTATTAATAGTGGTTAAAAAACACTAATTTAAAAATATAACTGTTTGTGACCGTTGTAATGAAAGAAGCAGGGAAACATGCAATAAGGGCTTTTCACACAAGGGTGGACACCGCACCATCAAAGTTCCACCTAAGCACCTCCCGGGGTGCTTACTCTTATCAGTCTAAGAACACAAATGAATAAAAATGTCAAAGAATATCTACCAGTAATTAGGCATGGAAACTTCACCTTGCCTGATGAGGAACCATGATGAGGAACCAAGTTGACCCGCCCCAATCGGGGACGGGTATTCCCCACAAAAACGGGTATCGGGTATGGGGGCGTGAATCTTCATTATGCTAAAATCGGAGATGGGGTCGGCGACGGGTATACCAATCTCCAACCCACCCCGCTTTGATGATGTTATATATATATATATATATATATATATATTATATATATATATATATATATATATATATATATATATATATATATTGATAATTTATTAAATTTGAATTAAATCCGGTAAGCATTAATTGACCTGTATTAGACCATTAGAGACAAAGTCCATATAGCAAATTACATTTCCAATTCCAAGAGTTCCTCAATTGTCACTTCGTTCGACAGTCGGTATACCAAATCGTCACATTTTTTTTAATGTTTGTTAAACTTTATGACCGGTGTAAACACAATCTGATTATGACCACTAATTTTGATCCCGTATTAAACTTCATTTTTTTTTTGCATAAGTTGATTTAATTATGTTGAGAGATCGGGGACGTGTCAGGGATAGGTCGGCAATGGTCCGGAAAAAAAAACCCAAAATCTAAAGGAGAGTGCATTTGGTTCCACGCATCCATCAGGGATGATGATGAAGACGAAATTAGACACTCAGGATGGGGATATGGAAGGTCAACCCTGCCTCCATTTTCATCCCTATCAGTAATCAATTGTTAAAGGCTTAAAATTGTGATTAAACACTTGTTCTAAAGCATGCAAGGTTTTAAAAGGTTGGTCTATGTGTAGGCAAATATTATGTTAGAAGCAAGTACACTAAGGAAGTACCTTTCAGTGCTGAAGACCAAAGGGTACAAATACACTAAAGAAATACCTTTCAGTGCTGAAGACCAAAGGGTACGATTAATAGGAAACTTACCACTCCCTTTAGCCTAAGGGTATATATACCAAAGGGTACAAATACACTAAAGAAATACCTTTCAATGCTGAAGACCAAAGGGTACGATTAATAGGAAACTTACCACTCCCTTTAGCCTAAGGGTATATATGTGAAACAAAAATAACATGCAAACTAATCCAACCCTCAAGATTGGAACAAAACATATTTCACTCTAAAAAACACAAGCACATAAATGAAAAAAATACAATCTTGACATAGTGAGTAGAAACAAATATGTTTAACTTTGCTAAATTTTAAAACCAAAAATTTCCTTCATATATGGTTTAACACTATAATCACCATCAATTTGCTTTAAAGACTTCATAATTCTGAACCTTTTCGTTCATGGTGAGTATTAAAGCCCGATCATTTCCACTTTCTGGTGTCAAATGAAAACCCTCCTTTTCAGCAAATTTAATTATCTGAAATGCAATTTAAAACACGAAATTAAATTAAAACGCTTCTCAAATCTTAGTGTAATAATATTAATACTTACAGCTTTTCTGATAGCAGGCTCTCCATGGGTTTCTCCGCCTTTTCCCGTAACAATCTTTAAGGTTTTCAAATCCTTTTAGCGTCTTTTCTTTGAGAGTGAGGCCAAGAATGTATTTCGGTTTCGGTGCCATGATGACCCAATTCTAAAAGTGGGGGGAATGTATCCGTAGATTCTGTTGAAACTCTTGTGGCCAAACTCATAAAGGCTGATGAAGATGTATGACAAATTAATTATATTTGTTATTATTTTTTCTTAAGTTTTTACTTTAACTTTTGTTTGAATAGGTGAAAAAATACCATGGTAAATTAGGCCATCTGAAGAGGTTGGCGGAAATAGAGGCGGACAAATTGTTTACTGAGCTATGTGAAAAGGATTCCTGCGAAATACTAAGGCATATGTATCTAATTGTTTTTAAAAAAAATCTAATATATTTTTTCTTAAATTGTATTTAATTTTTTCTATTTGTTTTTCTCAGAATGCTGCCATCAAGACGAGATTTAATGCTTAACTTGTACTACCAAACCGTTGAGAACAGTATATATATATATATATATATATATATATATATATATATATATATATAAAATGTATATATTTTGGAGTAGGTATAGGCTGTTCTCAACGGTTTGGTAGTGCAAGTTAAACATTAAATCTCGTCTTGATTGCAGCATTCTGAAAAAAAACAAATAGAAAAAATTAAATAGAATTTAAGAAAAAATATATTAGATTTTTTTTAAAAACAATTACATACATATGCCTTAGTATTTCGCAGGAATCTTTTTTACATAGCTCAGTAAACAATCTGTCCGTCTCTATTTCCGCCAACCTCTTCGGATGGCCTAATTTACCATGGTATTTTTTCACCTATTCAAACAAAAATTAAAGTAAAAACTTAAGAAAAAATAATAACAAATATAATTAATTTGTCATACATCTTCATCAGCCTTTATGAGTTTGGCCACAAGAGTTCAACAGAATCTACGGATACATTCCCCTCACTTTTAGAATGTCTGACATGAGTTTCAAATCCTTTTAGCTTCTTTTCTTTGAGAGTGAGGCCAGGAATGTATTTCGGTTTCGGTGCCTTGATGACCCAAACTTCTTCGTCCTACATTTTGCACTTAGATTAGTCACAAAACACACAAAACAAAACACAAAACACACACACAGAGACAGAGACAGAGTAGATGCAAACTTTGAAAACCACAAAACAAGTAGATGTAACATAACCAATAGCATCACGAATTTTCGGTCAAAATGAAGTCAATAGAAAGTCAGGAATCAACTAATAAATAATGGTAAATCCAACAGATAAACAATCGTAGATCCATGACACTGTATATGGATGGATGAGCCAAAAGTTCCTTTTGTTAAAATTGATTGCCAGATGAACTGTATGTTAAATTAATGAAATAGCTTGTAGTGATATGCGTAACTGGATATGGCAATAACATCTCTTCTAAACTATCAAACATAAATCAAACTTTGAAAACCACAAAACAAGTAGATGCAACATAATTAACAGCTGTGCTAATTAACATAGTTTTGTGTGTTTGAGCGAGAGAGATGAAAGGGGGAATGAAGCTAACCACACACTGCTGAATGTCAAAGGAAAATCGAAAAGACCACGTTCGAACCTTAAACTTTGCTGAAATCGAATGGCGGGAATCGTCACGACATTGCGGAGTGACGGAGGCGACGACAATGGCGGACGGCGACACGGAACTGACAGACGGGCGAGGGTGACAGCAGGAGGTTGAGGGAGGAAGTCGTGGTTGAAGCTTTGAGCGAAAGAGGCGTGAAAGTGAAAAGGGCACCGATGATATAAAAGCCCTAGCCAAAAGCGGCGTGAAAGATATATATATATATATATATATATATATATATATATATATATATATATATATATATATATATATATATATACTAGAAGGTTCTCGCCCGTGCTAGCACAGCCCAAGACTATAATTAAAGCATAGTTTACAAAAGTTATACATGACTCCAAGGCTATTTTTTACCTTAAGCATATTTTATAACCCATTAAGAATGATGAGTTCATATGAGAGATTCTAAAAATGATTCATGCCATTTTATTTCTCTTGAGTTGAAGAAGAGCCTTGAAGCTCATCAAAATTGGAAGTCTACGAGCATTTAGCTTCTTGTTGCATAATGATCATTGCATAATGATCATAAAGCAATAGTCAACCACCCAAAAAGTCAACAGATAATATGCTAGAAAGCAAAATTAATGCATATCATTCTTTGATTGATAATATATCCACAACATAAGATTCATAGAAAATAAGAAATTATTCTAGAAACTAAAACCATATAATCACCAAAAAATAAATATTGAATCACCTAATTATAACTTTCTCATGGAACCTCACCTTGTCCGACATGTCCTGCTTCTTTATCTTCAACGATATGTTCTTCATATGATCACTAAGAATCGTAATCTATCATATTAATATCAGTAGGGGTGAGCAAAAACCGAACCGATAAAAGAAAAACCGCAAAAACCGCAATAAGCCGCAACCGAAAAACCGAAACCGACGCAAAAACCGATGGTGCGGATTTTATTTTTTTGAAAAACCGAATTTATTGGTGCGGTGCGGTTTTTATCTAGAAACCGGACCACCAAAACCGAACCGCACCGCAAGCTTATTAACAATAAAATAAATCACTGATTTATATTATACAACTATACATATTATTTACAAAACTAATAAATTCTAATTTATACATATATTATATATTGAAGTTGACAGTAATTAGTAATTAGGTATTAGGTATTAGGTTTAATATGTGAGTTGGTCATTTTGTGTTTGTGACTTAATGATTATGTGTAAAGTGTAAACACTATGTGGGCTACAACTTGCAAGCTTATAAAATTTAAGCACAAATTGAATAAAAAAATGAGCTTGAGAATATAGGTTGTAAATGAAGTGATCAAGTAAACAACATAAAATACTCGAAATTACAGCTTCTAAAATGTGAGGAAACGAAATGACAACATGTCATACAATCATAAATCTTTACATGAACACCACGGTTAAAAAAATCGTACTTGTGAACATAAAAAAAACCACACCATATGTTTGACTCGGTTTAAAACCGATACCGAACCGGTACAAACCGAAACCGCGCTAAAAAACCGCAAAAACCGAACCATTGAAAAACCGCACCCAACGGTTTCTAGAATTCAAAAACCGTACCTTACGATTTGTGGTTCGGTTTGGCCCTAAAGCCGCACCATACCGCACCATGCTCACCCCTAAATATCAGAATTATCGTCTGAGATTTCCTCATCGTCAGACGAATTATCTATTAAATTTATTAATTGAAGTTTTATATCCTCACTTATATCCATATTATTGATTTGCTTTTTTATTTTTTTATTTCTACATTTATTAGCATAATGTCCTGTTTTTCCACATGAAAAACAAGTAGGGGGTTTTTATTAATATTATCTTTTCTAATCAATTTTCTTTTTATATGTTTATCTTTTTTATTAGAATCATTATGCCTTTTTTATAAAAAAAAAATATTCTGTTGAAAGTCTTTTTTCTATTTCTTGTTATTTCTATTAGTTTATATTCTGAATTGATCACAAAATTCTCCTAGTTGTCTTTTTTCATTAACATGTTGGGTTTTAGTTTGATGATTAAGTTTTATCTCACTACATAAGGCTAAACTTTCCTGTATACAAGTCCCTATTAATTTTCCATATGTATAATCTTCGTAAGGAATTGTATTATCTATCCTTAGTTGGTTTTTTACTCATATTCGTTATGGTCCTACTAGATTATGGTATCAGAGCCATGGAATACTATGTGATATTACCACATTTTACTGTTTATGCGTATATTCAGTAGATTCAAAAATAGTAATAAACAACTGATTAAAAATAAGGTAATAGACGAATATGAAGTGCCAAAGAATTTAGATCTTCTTAATAAATGGACAATTCCTAGTATCAACCCTAAATTTATATATGAATTAGGAACCTTTGAAGAATTAGGTTTTATTCAAACTGTTAAAACTACAGAAGAAAAGTTAACTATGAATGAAGATGAGATGACAATTCAATTAATAACCCCACAAGATATTGATAGGTATAAATATATTTATAATTACTTACATATTGGTTTAGTACAAATTGTTCTTAAACCATTAACATTACAGGGATTACCTAAAAGCTTTTTAGCAGTCCTTAAGGATGTTAGAAATAAAAATTGGAAACAATCTTTAATGGATAAAATAGAATCTAGTTTGTCCCATAGACCAGTATATTTTAATGTTTACCCAAATTTACAACTTTCCTTGTCTGATAAAAATATTTTTCAAGCTTTAACATCAAATGTCAAAACTCATGGTTATAATTATTTACCAGGATCAGAAGTAATATGTATATGTTATTGTATATATTTTAAACCATTGAAAGCTATAAATCCTAAATGTAAGAGAGTTAATATACCTATAAATGAAACAATTTTAATATAAAGTAATTTTGATATGTCAAAATTTACAACCAGAAAATCTATAAAATGGGATGAAATAAAATTTCCTCAACACTGGGTTTTTAGAAAATAATGTACCACCCACACCTTTAATAAATAATAATATAGAAAGTATTATACAAACTTCTGATGGTGTAGTTACTATTGAGTTTAACAAAGAAACCGAATATGAAAGCGACTTGATAAAACGAACAAGATCTGCAAGATCTTCGCATTCATATATATCACCAATAGATTATAAGGTAGAAGTCCCTTTCTACTCGTGCTTCTGTTAATATTAGAAAAATAAATAATTTAAATATACATGATGATATTGTGTATGAGGCGGAGGCATCTACTCCTTTCGAAATGAATTTTACAGTTTAATGGATTTAAAAGAAAAAATAGATTTTAGCCCTGGTTCTCAGGCAAGAAAAATTATTTGTGAAGAATTTTATTCAACCAAATGGACATTTTTTAAAGAATGGTTATTTGAAAAATATTCTAAAGAGGAATTACAAGAAATCCAAAAGAAATTTTATGAATATTTATCCTCTATAAATTAAATTATACATTTTATTCCTTGGTTTATTTATACTTTTCAACATAATATTCACAACATAGAAAGAGATTATACTCTATCAGGAGACAAGGTAATAACAAGTGTATTTCCACCTCAAATCCCTTTTACAATCACAAATAATAATATTGCTATAAAATTTTCAGCTTATCAAAAGCTTTTTTTATGAAAAGATTCTTACAGTAGACATAAATCATATTAACAGTATGATTCAACAATTAAATTTCCATAATTTATATTTCATAGTATTAGGAGAACAATTAATGGATTTACATAAAAATATAGAAAATATAAATTTACTCATTAACAATAGTCAAAAAAATATAATAATACAGAAAAAAGATAAAGAAAAACAAATAAATGCTACTATTCAACCCCCACCAAATATTACTGGTTACAAATTAAAAAATTATGATTATATGTTAGATATTATGTAAGAACAAATGAAAAAATTACATATTAATACTATTAATAAAGACTCAGAGGATGATTCAGATATAGATGATACTCAAATAAATAAAAATTAATAATTATGATAGTAAATTTGCTAGAAAACCTGTTCAAAGATAATATTATTATCAAGACCAAGCCCTCAAGATATCCTACATCAGGAACAAGAATATGAAATTAATAATAGTTATAGTGGTAAAAATGTTTATGAATGGAATTTAGATGGTTATACTGAAAGACAAAATATATAATATGATTCATAGAATGTTAATGTATAGTACAATTGCTAAAAATTTATGTTAATTGTCGGATTTACTGGTCAATTAAAAGGCTGGTGGGACAACTATATGGATGAAAAAACCCAACAAACTATTCTTAATACAGTTAAAACAGAAAATGGAATAACTACTCCTAATGTAGTTTATACTCTAACTTGTACCATAATAGAACATTTTACAGGAAGATGATCAGATAATTCTGAGAATATTCATACTCTATTAAATAGATTATTTTGTAAAACTCTTACATCTTTTCGATGGTATAAGGATACTTTCTTAAGTAGAGTAATGGAGCTTAATGATTGTAATAGTGTTTATTGAAAATCTAAATTCGTAGATGGTTTGCCAAATCTTTTTGCTAAAAGAGTTAAAAACCAACTAAGGATAGATAATACAATTCCTTACGAAGATTATACATATGGAAATTAATAGGAACTTGTATACAGGAAGGTTTAGCCTTATGTAGTGAGATAAAACTTAATCATCAAATTAAAACCCAACATCTTAATGAAAAACGACAACTAGGAGAATTTTGTGATCAATTCGGAATAGAAACTAATAGAAATAAGAAGAAACAGAAAAAAGAGTTTCAACAGAATAAATTTTTTTATAAAAAAATGCATAATGATTCTAATAAAAAAGATAAACATATAAAAAGAAAATTGATTAAAAAGATATTATTAATAAAAAAACCCCTACTTGTTTTTCATGTGGAAAAACAAGACATTATGCTAATAAATGTAGAAATAAAAAAATAAAAAAGCAAATCAATAATATGGATATAAGGGAGGATATAAAACTTCAATTAATAAATTTAATAGATAATTCGTCAGACGAGGAGGAAATCTCAGACGATAATTCTGATATTAATATGATAGATTACGATTCTGATTATTCTTCAAAATTTGAAGAAATTGAATGTAATTGTTATAATTTAGAACAATGTTCATGTAACATAGATCATCAGTTATACTTAATCTAGTCTCAATTTAAAGAAGATTTAACCATAAATATAATTAGTAATGATATTGCAAACTTATTAAAAGAAATTAATGATCCAGAAATAAGGCAAAAAAATAATAGAAAATTTAAATAATAAGGAACAGAGTATAAAAGAAGAAGGGATCTATTCTATGAAAAAGGGATCTATTCCAAGAAAAACGTACATGATATGTTAAAAGAAAGTAGAAATAAAAATTCTACTATTATACCTACAATACAAGATTTGCAGGTTGAAATTAAATCTTTAAAACATGATATATCTAAGATAAAAAATGATCAATTAATAAACAATCAACGAATTAATAAATTAGAAAAGCTACAAAATAACCAAGATATTGGGACTACCAATAATACTGATAATAATTTTCTTCAGTCTATGGAACTAGTAATCTCTAGAAAATGGCATGTTACAATTAATTTATTTATTACTTACAATTATCAAAGAAATTTTGTCGCTCTAATAAATAGTGGTGCAGATCTAAATTGCATACGAGAAGGCTTAATACCTACTAAATATTTTCAAAAATCGATTCACACGTTAAGAGAGGTATCAGGTTCTAAATTGGATATTATATATAAATTAACAGATGCAAAAATTTGTACAGAAAATGTTTGTATACCTATTA